TAAGTCGCTAAAGGATAGATAACGTCAAATAGGTAAGAATTTTGTTTCGACTCACGAAAATCAAATATTTGTTATGATTGGATATAACTATATTTTATTATATTTTGTAATTTAGGCTAATGTAAWTAAATATTTTATATAAATGAAAAATTGAGTGAGTAATAGCTTTTTTAATATACAAAAGGCAAGGTGGAGGTTGAGGCTTATAAAATCAAAAAATACTGGATCGATTTTGACTAGTCAAGGAAAGCTTAGTTTATAGAACCAATTAATTTAGTAAGRCACATAGGCTATTAATAATATTAAACCATAACCACGAAATTCGTTTATTTATTTTTGCAATTTATTACACGTAAGTTTTTTTTTGGATAATTTTTTTCTTTCAACCGCAGGTAGATTACCCATCTAAGTTTTATTTTATTTTTATGTATTTTATGATAGGAATAGAAATAATTATTAGTGTATGATTTTAGTTGTCATTTGTTTTTCAGATATATGTAGCTTTTCTAGGACTCCTATTTGTGTCCACCACATTTGCGGACGTCAAGTCGGCGAATAAGAACGATAAGAAAAGAGACACCTTATTCGACCCATCCTTCGCATTTGGAGCCAAGACTTTTGGCTCATCCACCCCGGCCCCATTTGCGTTTGGCGGCTCGTTCTCGTCGACTGCTGCACCATTCAAATCCGTTTCTTACAGCTCCACACCAGCTCCATTCGCATACGGTAACTCTTTTGCCTCAAATTCCTACTCCAACGCCGCCGCAGCTCAATCATTCGATGCAGCATCATTCATTGGATCTTCCACACCTACTCCATTCTACGATGGATCATTTGTTTCTTCCACCCCAGCTGCTCTAATTGGCTCATCTACGCCAGCACCTTTCATATCTGGAGCCGCAGTATCGGACGCAAGCTTTGCATATTCTTCCACCCCGGCTTCAATTTTAGCAGGTGGAGCTTCGCCCGCTATTTCATCTAACCCAGAAGCAGTTCTTTTAAATAGGTCACCGGCTTTTGCTACATCGTATGGTTCATACTATTCTGGAGCTTTTGCCCCGTCTTACTCTCAAGGAACTATCATCAAATCTGACTCTATTAGCCATGATGCTTTGGAAGTTCCAGTCGTATCTAACGCCCCTGCACCCCAACATGAAGTTACCATCCATAAGGAAGTTCCAGTTCCATACTACGTCCAAGTTGAAAAAAGAGTTCCATACCCCGTCTATGTTCGAGTACCACACCCATACCAAGTCACTGTAGAAAAACACGTGCCATACGCTGTTAAAGTTAATGTAGACCGTCCAGTTCACGTTCCTCAGCCATACCCAGTAGAAGTTGAAAAGAGAGTGCCATATCCTGTTGAAAAGCCAGTACCTTATGAAGTKAAAGTACCAGTTGACAGGCCGTACGCAGTTCCAGTTCCAGTTGAGAAACCTGTCCCGTACGCAGTTGAGAAACCCGTTCCTTACCCAGTGAGAGTAAATGTTGACAGGCCTTACCCCGTTGAAAAACCAGTGCCATACCCAGTAGCTGTCGAAAAGCCAGTGCCATACSCMGTAGAAAAAGCTGTGCCATACCCAGTAGAAAAATTAGTCCCATATGCCGTTGAAAAGAGGGTACCTTATCCAGTAAGGCACGACGTTCCAGTTAATGTTCCAGTACCAGTAGAAGTTAAAGTTCCAGTATCCGTCGACAGACCCGTMCCATATCCAGTAGAAAAGAGAGTTCCATATCCAGTTCAAGTTCCAGTTGAAGTTAAGGTCCCAGTCCCGGTTGCAGCTCCAGCTCAACGTTTTGCTACTGTCCACTATTATCAACAATCTCCAGTTGCTTTAGGATATGAATCCAGCCAAGCTCTCATTGGTCAATCTGGTTACAAATCATTCTCATCTGGTTTGGCTCAAGGTTATGGAAGTGCATTCTACAGCTCTACTCCAGCAACTGGAAGTGCATTATTCAGCTCTACCGCTAGCCCAATARGCGCATACAGCTCTACCRCTAGCCCAATAAGCGCATACAGTTCAACTGCCAGCCCGGCTGGTTTCTACGGCTCAAACATCGTCCAAGATGGTTTCGTCAGTTCATCCGCGTCTCCTTTCAATTTCGGCCAACAATCTTTCTTCGGATCTTCGACACCAGCTCCATTTAACACTTTCTCCGGTAATTCAGCATCATCTGATGCATCATCTCTTTTCAAATCCGCTAGCATTGGATCTGAAATTAAAGAGGAGGTTGCCATTGGAGGAGCATCTTTGAAGTCACAAGAATTTAAAGCTAACAACATTGACGTTATTAAGAAATAGATTTTAGAAAACTTGAGTTTATCTAATATGGAATTTTCATTATTTTGTATGTTCRCTAAATAATGGAAAAATGTTTTATTCATTTTCATATTTTTTAAACGATTTCTTTTATTTAGCACATAAACAATTTTTAATTAATCATCTGTAATATTATGAAAATATCATTTTATTGATTGATTTAAACATACTTATACTTGCTGTCTTCTATTTAGTATTTATCTTTTATTAATATTGGATAAATACAATTTACCTAAAATAAAAATGGTTGCATTTTAATTTATTGCTTATAAATTATTGATAACACAACAAACTTCAATAATCTTAAAATAAATATAATCATATTTTACTAGTAATTTATATATTTTAAATTTTTAGGGCCGTTTGAATTATATTATATTCACCGAAATAAAAATTGCTGTAGTTTTGTAAGTAATAATGATTTATTTTTAATAAAACTAAAAGAAAAAAATGTATTCCATAACTATTCAATTTGTTCTTATGATAATAATGTAATGATTAATTATTATATATATTATATATTATATGCAGGTATTTATTTTGTATTTATGCCTACAATATTAATAGTTAATATTACCTATCTTAAGATTTTTGTTTTATTAACAATATATTAGAAGTCTTCTGACTTTTACAAATAATCATTTTATTTTTTCAGCCATTGTATACATTGTGGTCATATAGTCGCATATAAGTATATAACTATATTATACGTGTTCTACTCGCAAGAAATGTTACACATTAAACAAAAGACTCTAACAGTCTACACAATATAATGGCAATAATAAACTATTATATTAAAACTTAATAATATTAATTGTCAGGCTGTGTCGCGATCCCTACTCATTAAGGACGTAATTTTATTTTGGTCGTAACGATATTATTATGGCCACATATTATAATAATATCTCTCCTGCAATCCTGCCTTGAAGATACCTACTTGCGCACATCCGTCGTATATTATAATAATATACGACATATGGCCACCGCTCAAGGTCACTAGGTGACGATAGAAAATAATATACAGGATGTTTTACTAAGCATATTACTCATTCCCTTTTTTCTTTGATAATGCAGTTATTAAAAATCTGAGTTTTGGAATTGTTGTATAACCTTTAAAACAATATTTTCCAAGTTCTTGAGATTTTTTTACAAATTAAGAAGTGTCCTATACAAACTTTTGTTTTTTTTTTTCAAAATGAAAACACCCCTTTTGTAATGTAAATTATTTTGTGGGTTATTATTCTGAAAATGTTTATATTATTCTAATCTACCTACTAAGGATAATGTAAATTCAAGATAATAAGCTTTGAAGATTTGTGGCCTTGTGGGCCATGGTGATTTGAACATTTCAGTTATTAATAATCTTTCTGCGTATATAGGTAGGTATAGTTTGAAATAATGGTCTATGTATAATATATTATACTATGTCTATGTAGATCCAATATTATACCTATCAACKTTAAATTTTTGTAAAACTATTAAGTATGAGAGTATGACTATATTATCCTTATTTCTTGGCAAACATATTTTAATAATTATGATCTAATTGTGTGAGTTTTTAATTAAGTAGGTACTAGGTATATTATTATTTTCAAAAAAATTATTTACTTAATAATTTTGAAGTTTAAAATATGTAGTTCGCGTTTGAAAGACAGCAGAACAGTTCTGTATCGCCATAGAAAATTCTTTAAGTAGTAAAAAAATCACAAGAATTTGAAAATATGGTCTTTAATAGTATCTATATTTTCAAATTCCAAAAATTATAATTTGAATAAATTCATCATTAAAGGAAAAATTGTGTTGCGTATGCTTGGAGAATCACTCTGTATACATATATAATATATATTTTTATTGCAAGTAATTGTTATATTTTCGGAAGACAATGTTTAATTTACGGGAATTATACGAAATTCAAAACGTATTGTTTYATATTATGATATTATACGACCCGAGTACATGAAATAAGTATATTATGTACTAATTTCGCATAATAATCGCACAGTAATAACTAATAATATCGAAAATCACTCGCGCGAGACCGTTGCTATATATTTACGCGATATTATAATATTATTGTTGTACAATAAATTGGATCGTGTAAATCAATAACAAATTATCGGACATACCTGTTATATGTTTGTGGTGGTTGTAGAGCGCATAATTTTTTTTGATTAACTAGCATGAACCATTGTAAGAATATTGTATTATACCTATTGAAATTCTGTGCAAATGAAACTATAGAACTCATTATAATAATATTCACGATATACGCCAACTAGTACACAGGATGGACAGTAGTCACAAGTGACTAAAAGTCTACAGCAGAAAGTTAGTCAAGCTATGTAAACATTAAAAACACGTAAACCTAAGTGTTGTTTAAGGTATAACCGCTTATAAACAATAAATTCCAAGGTTCGATTTACTACAGTAGGTGACGGTGCAGACGATATTTTTGGACAAAAATCGTTAATGTTTATAATTACCTAGAGATATTTTGAACTTTTTAGTATATTTGGTAATACATAAACCTGAGAAGTTATTGAAAATGTAATGAAGGACATGAATTAAAATGAGTTTGGGTTTTTATACGGTTTGGAAAAATATATTTTCAAACAAATTTTTTAATTTTAGTGAATATTTTGTTTATTTAACTATATTATGATGGTCAAAAGACACCTATATTAATTTTAAAAATACCCCGAAAAACCTCGGGACGGGCTGATCGCTGTCCACGCGATTTTTAAAAATTATAATTAATATCAAAATTGAAAATGTATTTTTCATGTAATGTAGTCACTGTCATTTTATTACTTTTATTKTATTATTATAAACATCCATTAACCATCCTGAAAAAGATATTGATTTACTCCTATACCTAATCAATATTTTTGAATGCTTGCATCAATTTTTTTTTTAATATTCTAGTTTTTTATAAACATTGTTTAATTGTTTAATTCATGATTTTGCTGTTTCTTAATTAAAATACAATTATTGAATTTAATAAAAACATTTTCTGTATATTAGTATCGATTTACAATTACAACTAATAAATATAGCCTATACCTACTGCTTGTTAGCTGTTGGTTCAACTATTCAAACAATTTAAAACCCCTGAAAAATAACTAAAACTTGTTAAACTCTCCTCCCCTCCTGCAAAAATGTTGGAAATAAGTCACTGCAATTTTGGTTGAGCATGCTTAGTGAATCACTCTAAGTATAAACATTAAGCAGTTAACAGAATGTTTTAATSGGGGATTATTTAGATTAATTAAGCCTGTTTCATTAATTAGTTAWATCATTAAGTCTAACCTATATAGGCTATAACCTACTTACTATACATTTTTAATATAATATTTAGCTCAGATATTAAGTAGGTACACACATTATTATAATATATACAGGGTGTCCCACTACAGAGATCTGACATTCTGACAAGTGAAATAACTTTTGTTCTAATCAATATTTTTTAAAAATTTCTTTTAAATATAATTCATAGACACTTGTG